GTCTGGGTGTCAAGGTGGCATGATTTTGGCTATTTTGGCTTTCTGTGTGGCTCTGTTCTCCTGCTGTGCTTCCAAGCTATGAACTGAACATCTCTGCTTCACTACACCCCTCCCCCATGGTATTTCTGCCTTGAGCCAGCCAACCCTGTACAGAATTCCCTGAAACCATGAGCCAAATTAAACCTCTCCTCCATTTAAGTTGAGGGTATCAGGTATTGTGTCCCATTGATGGGAAAGGTGATTAACATAACCTGATTACAGCCACCTTGGGTCCCAGCTGCCACAGTTGCCGCTGGGTAACCCTGATCTATTTTCCCTGCATAATTTCCCAGTAAACTATAAACGAAACCATCAGAATGGTATGTGGAGCTTTATGACCAGACCATGGTGCCATCAGCACCAGAAATGTGCCTGATGTCTTGGAGTTGGAGTTTGAGATAAACTAGGTATATTCTGGACTTGAACAAAGTCACTTTTGTCCTATTATATAAGCCCCCTCCTTCAGATCCAAATCACAGATATTCGCCTGTCTTGCTGCCACTCAAGCCATGGTTTTATATGGAAGTTCACCAATAAATTTCATTCTGTGCAGTCCTGGATCTGTCTCGATTCAGTCTCAGCACACCTGTGGCCACTTTTCATCCACTGGGACCAGATCTTTCCATAATAGTAAATTACCATCTTAACAAGGTAAGATGTAGAGGGAGAGGCACATGGTAAAGGGGCAACAGTTCATGGCAGTGGAAGACAGCAAAAGCAACAAGAGAGTTTAGGAGCATGTTTTTGGGCCGGGGATTTAGCTCAGTGGTTCTGGCGTCTGCCTTGCAAGCTGAGGACCAGAGTTTGATCCCCGGTACCAAAAAAAAAAAAGAGCATTTTCTGCCCCTGTTATCTTATTCACACTACTTAGGGCAGGTAGCACTCATGCCCTTAATCCTAGTGCTCTCAGGCCTAGCCCCACCATGAAATCAATCATGCGCTCTAAAATAAACCCACCTCATTCACATGAGGCTTTGAGGGACATCTAAACACAAGTCATAACACATCCCATAGAGTAGGGCCAATATAATTTGCTTCAGGAACAGAAAAGTAAAAACAAAAAAAATGCAAGCTTTCTGACTGTGTATGGGAAAACTCATAAGCACAGCACTCCAAGGTAACTTTTACTGAGGACAATGCATAGAATGTAGGCATCCGAGTAGAAGGAAGGACCTGTTCCCCATTAATCTTGTTCCCCATTACTCATTAGTTAAACATGTACTGACATCTACTAGCAGTCACTATTCCGTAAATGACACATGACCCTCTTCCCCTGTGCTTGCTGGCTAAAACAAGTGGGCTCACTGGAGACATTGTTGAGAATGTCCACTAGAGGCATCTCTCCCTCTGGACCTTGCATCCTAAATTATTGTTTCTGTCTCTTATCCTTCGTCATACCCTCGTCCAGGCAACTGGGGGTCTGATCAGCCCCCAATAGAATCTATCATATACTCCCGATATAAACTTTTAACAAAGTAGAAAAATACTTTGCAGGGCCAGGGATTTAGCTCAGTGGCACCAAACCTGCCTTGCTAAAGCACAAGGTCCTAAGTTCGATCTCCAGTACCAAAAGAAAAGAAAAATACTCTGCACAATATAATAAATGGCATATACCAAAGAAATATACCTAAGATCATATTTAATGATTGTGTTAGCTTTCCCTGTGACAAAATACCTGAAAAACAAAGAAGGGATAATTTATTTTGGCTCACAGTTTCAGAGGTTTCAATTCATGGTCATTTGGCTACATTGTTTCTGGCTGTAGTGAGGCAGAACATCATGGCGGAAGGGCAAGTAGGGAGGAAAGCTGCTTATCTCGTGGCAGCTGGACAGCAAAGAGAGAAAGAACCAGAAAGGCAGTGTCCAGGAACAAGACATAGTCCCCTGGTCATGCCTTTATGACCCCTGCCTTCAACTGGGCCCGGCTGAAAAACCAAGCCCTCAGGACATGACCTTTGGCAGATATTTCATATCCAAACCATAACAATAATGAAAGATTGCTTTACCCTTAAGATCAGAAAAAAGACAAGGATTTCTGCTTTCATGATTTCTACTGAACATTGTACTGGAGTTCCAGCCAGGGCAATGAGACAGTAAAAAGGCATTCATATCAGAAAGGAAGAAGTAAAACTCATCATATGTGGGAAATGTGATTACATATGTAGAAGGTCCACATAATCTATCAAAAAAGCTACATGAACAAAACAGTGAGTTTAGGAAGGCTGCAGTATATAAACAAAATCAATAAAATTAATTGTATGTCTACATATCAACACCAAACAACTAGGAATTAAAATAAGGAGAAAAACCATTAATAATAGAATCAAACATTGAAATACTAAGGAATAAAACTGGGCCAGGGATTTAGCTTAGTAGAGCCAGCACCTGCCTTGCAAGTGCAAGGTCCTGAGTTCGATCCCCGGTACCAAAAAAAGGACTAAACCTGTCAAAAGTTATAAAAGATCTGCAAAATATTGAAAAGGGCTATCAAATGAGAGAAATCAAGGAAGATCTAAATAAATGGAGAGTTATACTATCTTCATGGATCAGAAAGTTCCATGTTGCTTTACATTGTTCCTTCCCAAGTTGACCTATAGATCCAATTCAATCCCAATCAAAATGCCGGCAAGCTTTTCTGTAGAAACTGGCAAGCTGATTTGAAAATTCATATGAAAATGCATTGGAGTTAGAATAGCCAAAGTAAAAAACTCCAGTGTTGATTGGCGTTCACACTACCTGGTTTCTAGCCTTATTATAAAGCTACTGTAATCAATCAAAAGTGTTTCGTGGGACTGAGGGTGTAGCTCAGTGCACTTGAACTTTCACTTGCACTTGCCTAGCATGTGGAAGGATCCGGGTTTGATCCCCAGCACTACAAAACAAGTGTGGATTCAGCCTCAAAACAGACAGACAGAATGAAGAGAAAAAGTAGTGAGGCCAGAAATAGGCATATACATATATGGATAACTGATTTTTGGCCAAGGTTCAAAGGATATTCAGAAAAGTAATGGTGCTGAGCAATTGAATATTAACATACATTAAAAAAAAAAACTTTGCTGCAAACCTTAGAATATGCTTTTAAAAATTAACTCAAGAGAGACTACAGACCAGAAGAAAAAAAATAGAAGAAAATCTTGGTTACTTAGATTAGGGCAAAGATTTCTCATATATGACAAGAAAAAATATCATCCATAGAAGAACCAAATGATAACTATATTTCATCAAAATTTAAAGCTTCTGTGCTCCAAAAAAAGTTTAGAGAAAGAAAAGCAAAGCTATAACATATTTGCAACCATGGTTGCAAATATATATATAATATATATATGGTTGCAAATATATATATATATATATATATATATGACTTGGTGCAGAATGGGCGAAAGATTTGTAGACAATTCACCAAGGAAGATATACAGATGAAACAATGTTAAATAACATTAGTGATCGGGGAAATGCAAATTAAAACCACAGTGAGACGCAGAATGGTAAGAATAAAGAGGAACTGGGACTGTCATATGCTGCTGATGAGAATGCAAAATGGCACAGCCACTCTAAAACTGTGGCTATGTATTAAACATCAGACACATGTCCACCAAGAAGGGGGAAAGGCTTATGTCCATATAAAAACTTAAACATGGGCCAGGGATTTAGCTCAGTGGTTCCGCCGCCTGCCTCGCCAATGGAAGGTCCCGAGTTTGATCCCGGGTATCAAAAAAAAAAAACTTAAACATGAATGTCATAGCAGCTTTATTTGTAATGGTAAAAAACTAGTAATTACTCAGGTGTCCATCAACTGATGAGTGGATAAACAAATGGTGATACATACACACAATGGAATATCATACACAAAATGGATACATACACAAACAAGAAAAGAATGAACTATTGACACAGCAATAGGACAATCCTCAGAGAAAGACATCTAGCAAAAACAAAAAGGGGTGCATTCTGTATGAGTCCACTTAAATGAATCTCTAGAAAATGAAACTAATTTATACTAATGGCACATCAGCAGTGGTGGAAGGGAGGAGGAATTCCAAGGGGCAGAAAGGAACTTTGGGGGTTGATAGACGTGTTCATTATTTTGATTGTGGTGATGGTTTCACAGCTGCATACATATGACAAATATTAAATTATAGATTAAATACTTACTGTTTATACTGTCAGTTATACTTAAATAAACTATTTTTTAAAGTATCTATACTCCCTACTTGGAGGACTGAAGTTTCTACCTCTCTTTCCTCTTACAAGTATCTTAAGAGTCTCAGTCATAAAACCTTAAAGAGACAAGAAGCCCTCTTTTCCTCTATCTCAGCCATCACCCGGGCCACCCACCATTTTCTCACTCCTTGCCCACCTTTTCCCCCCACACCTCGAACCAAGTGTCATGTCTTACTGGTCTCAATGCTTCTCCCAAGTTCTCCTCATTTTCCAAGATATTTCCATGGACGCAGAAACATCCTTTACTACCCTGATCCATTTCGGGTCCTTCTTCCCATCTCAATCTTTTAGCCACAATGAGGATTGTACTGGCAAGCAAACTTTTAGAAACAGATCTCCTGCCCTTTCTCAATCGCAAATTGCTCCAGCTTCCCAGCAATTCAGGGATAAATTACTCAGCATCACTTATTTCTAGGGCAGCGGTTCTTCAAGTGTGGTCTCAGAACAAGCAGTATCAGGCCACCTGGGAGGCCATCCCTGACCTACTGAGTCACAAACTCTGGGGTTTGGGGTACAAGGCCTCTAAGTGACTGAAGCAAGCCACTGTTCTGGGGCTAAAAAAAAAAAAAAAAGGACAGGAAGAAAATTAAAACGAAAGCTCAAATGAGAATCTGATTATGGGATGGGGGAGGGGGGAGTGAAGGAATGGAAGGAGAGGGAGAGATTGACTCATCGTCTAATCAGAAAACCTACCCAGCCCCAGGAAGCTTTCCCGAAAGATAATGGAGTCCGACATTCACCTCAAGAACCGGCAGACAAGGCACCAAGGAATGTGTCGCTGGCCAAGCGGGTCCCTAGCTAGGGCTCTGCTGGGTGGTAACTGCCCTGCGAGTGTTCACGGGTTAATTCTAGGCACACCCTCACCCCACCCCCACCCCACCGCTCCGCGCGTGCGCGGCCCTGCGCCATAGAGTTGAGCTATCCTCCCAGGTTCCTAGAGCGGACGGGTTGATGGCTGGCTCATCCAGAGGGGGGCTTGACAGCGACCGGCGGGGCACTTCGAGGTACGCAGGAGAGTACTCCACCGAAAGCCCAAGTATTCCGGGCGGTGCCTCCTAACAGGCGGTTTGTTGAGTCCAGGACCGCTCCCTGGCATGGAGACCTAGTCGGTTCTTGGCCTAATGTTCTTTTGGTACCCGGTCAGCCCTCGCTGGGCCTTGGGTTCAACTGAATGAACGCCAGAAATTTGGGGGAGCTGGTGTAATCTTGAAACGCGGATGAATCCGCGCGAATCGGCTGACCGAATCGGGAAAGAGCTCTCTGAATTTGTGAGTGTTAGAAGAAGCTAAGGAAGGAAAGACATTAGTATGAACGTTCAGTAGAGGCAGTTTTGAAAAAGCAGGGGATAACATCTTAACCATTAAGATAAATTATAAAAATCTCTCTGTTATCTTCCCAGTTATACCCTGTTTTGGTAACATTAACTCCCACTTTTGCTTGAGTATCTCTCAACTGGGAATGGGGAATGTGTGTCCAAGAGAAGTAATGCCACATTCCTGGACGATGGGGGAGGAAGCTGAAAAAGCCTAAGATAAAATTACTTGGAAATTAAATAAGCTTTCGTTTTCTCCTTCACTTCTTTTGTATTTAAAGGCTGTTTCTGTTGTCCTAGTCTCAGAAGGTATATTTCTAGTCTGCAGATTGATTCTCTTCTGAGTCCATTGGTGCCCAGTTGCTTCCAGGCCTCAGACCCTTGTGTAGACAAGAAAATCCCAGAAAGGAAATGGTAATTCTTCAGTTGCTCCCTGAGGTGTCCAGTTGCAACCTATGGAGAACCAATTCAATTCTGAATCTCAAGAACATCACTTTCTGTCAGGTGAGTAGACCCCATGCCAGTGTCTGCACATGATATCAATATTCCTTCTTGCCTACACCCACACTCCTTTAGACAGTGCCATCTCTTTAGTGCTTCAAGCATAGTCGTGTGGTTTTATTTCTAATTCTAGCAATCAAATTCTTATTCAGGTCCCTCTTTTTTAAAGGCCCAAGAGTCATCCATTTTTCCTTTTATAATGACCCTAATATTACCAATCTGTGAGTGTTTGGTATGTCGCTTCATAATCTTTTTAAGCCCTCTTTCTCATCTGCAGGGGCATTGTTAAAAGTTTTGGAATCTAATGACCTGGATTCCAATTCTAGCTTTATCGTCTACTACCTTCAGTAATTTACAGTTCTGTTCTTTCACTTTATAAGTGTATCATAATTCAGACCTTGAAGGTTATTTTGAGAATAATGTCTGTTACTCCAAAATAAAAAAGCTTCAAACTTAATGACCTAAAACATCAGACAGTTTTCATCTGTGTTATTTCTTATGGGTTTGTAGGTCATCAACTGGAGCAGGGTTCAGATGGGCAGCATTTTTCTCCGGGTGTTGTCTGTATTCACTTAGGCAGTCATCCAGTGGCTTTACTTGGACTGGGGTCTAAATCTCAATCACATGTGTGACCATTGATGCTTGCTGTGGCTTGAGTCATCATCAATGGGCTAGCCCAGACTTTTTCACGAGACAGCTAATATCCAAAATCAGAGAGGACAAGCCCTTTGATACATGAGCACTTTGCATACCTGGGTTTTTGTTACATCTGTGTATGTCTCATTGACCAGTGCAAGTCATGTGGCAAGTTTCAGAGTTCCTGTGAAAGGAAACTAACTGCACAAGGAGATTGATACTAGGAGATACAGTTCATTGGGGCTTGTTATTACTATAAAAAATACTAAATGAGTGCTGGGGATTTAGCTCAGTGGTTTTGCCGCCTACTGTGGAAGTGCAGGGACCCAAGTTTGATCCCCAGTACCAAAAAAAAAAAAAGAGAGAGACTAAATGAGGCACTCTGTATAAAGTTATGAGTATAGATCTGGCTCATAGTAAACTTATTTATTTATTTATTGTGATACTGGGGATTGAACCAGGGCTTCACGCGTGCTAGACAGTCACTCTCCAACTGAGTTACATCCCCTATCCATTTTATTTTGCAGTAGGATCTTCTAAGTTATTCAGGCTGTCCTCAAACTGATCTTCCTAACCCAGCCTCCTGGGTAGCTAGGATTACAGATGTGCGCTACCAATCTTGCCTTCTAGCAAACTCTTTAGCCACTATTATAGTAGTAAAATGATTTTGATCCTTATTTTGTTCAGATGTTTCACAGGGTTTCATTTCCACATCATATGCTACTTCTTTTTGGTTGTGGTCCTGCCATTTCTGTCGTCTTGCCTATGAAATTCTCTTATCCCTGCTATGCAAGCGCAAGGACCCGAGTTCAATCCCCGGTACCAAAAAAAAAAAAAAGAAATTCTCTTACCATTGCCTGTTTCTTTCAATATAGATCTACAGCTTTTTAGTCTTAGAGCAGCTTTATTATATTATCATTATTTAGTTTGTTTCCTGTATTATAATTCGCCCTTTGTTAAGATCTATTCTAGCCAGGCATGGTGGTACATGCCTGTGATCCCAGCACTCAGGAGGCTGAGGCAGGAGGATCGCCATGAGTTCAAGGGCAGCCTGGGCTACATAGTGAGACTGCCTCAAAAAAAAAAAAATCTATTCCAAGTCATCTAGCTCTCCTTCTTCCTGAGAATCAGTGTAGATTTGCAGCTCATCCTTGCAATTTAACATAAATTGATATACTTATTCCATGTGTTTAGGTCTCCTAGAATGTGTATGAAATAACATTTTTATTATAGAGTAATACAATTATGCTGTGGTCCATTTGTATAATATTGAAAACACAAAATTTAACCTCTAACTCTACCACCTAGAAATAATTACTGGTAATATTAATGTATCCTTCCAGTCATTTAATTAATAAAATCATATCTTATGAGCTATTACTAGCCATATAATATTGGTTATTGAGGTTTTACTTTGTGCCGCTATATGTACGGGATTTCAACATATGCCAAGTTTTGTTTCTATGAGGGTTCCTGAAACTAATCCCCTGCAGATATTGAGGAATGACTCTACTCCTAATTTCTGGGCTAGCAAGAAAGGAGCAAAGATGAAGGGTGACCTGCTCATCTGTTTGCTTGGTATTTAGCACTTACAGTCCCACTTCCCAATAACCCCTTCAGTTTTAGGCAGGCCAGGACAGATGATCACACTATTTTCTTCCCTTATTGTGCAGATCTAATTATAAGCCAGAGGTCATGGAACCCCAGATTACACAGCCATCAGCATCAACCCCATGGGTACAGAGCAGATGGAAAATAGATCTGGAGGGGTGAAAAAAATATCCACGACAGTCCATCCCTTCTATTCTCTAATATCTACTTTTGTCCTCTGTTTTTTTATTTAGGTTGTTGTGCTCCCAACACAGAAAACCAAACAAAGTTCCTTAAGCTACCATTTTCTTGCAAGTTGACCAATAATTAAATTATATTCCCTCCTGAAACCCTCCAGGGCCCCTAACTGTAGCAGAAACAGAGTGAGCCTGAGATAGACAGATTAATACAAGGGTAGTAAAATGAAATCAGGGCAGAGAGAAAGGGACCAGATCATATAGAACTTTATAAGCTGTCACAAGAATTTGGAATTTCATTCCCAGTATAATGGGAAGCCATTGGAGCTCTTCATACAAGATATTGACATGTAAAGATCACTCTGCCTGGAATGTGAAGAATAAGAGAAAGATAAATTAGGAAGAAGAACACAAGTGTTTCAAGAAAAGAATAATAGCTATTCAAATAAATCTGGAATAAGCTTGAGAATTGACCATTGAGTTTGTCAAGGTAGAGCATATTAATGATTTTATAAGCCAAATTTCATTGGAATTATTGAAACAAAAGCCTAATTACAATGGATTAAAAAGAGAATTGACTCAGGCTGGGAATGTATCTCAATGGTAGAATTCTTCCCAAGCATGCAGGAGCATGCAGGAGGCCTTGGGTTCAATCCTAGCAACACACACACACACACACACACACACACACACACTAATAGAATTAATGTTGATTTGAATATGCAAAACCAAGAAGTATTTTCTTAATATCAGACATTTAGTAAAGTTCTGAAGAAAAGCCAAAAAAGGATAAACACACAATTCAGCAAAGAAATTATATGGATAGGAAATAAAAAGTTGGGGGAAATAGGAACAGGCACAGAACAATCCCAAAGTGTTTGAATTTTCTGGTAATTTTTTTTTTCTTTCCTAAGCTAAAGGAAAATTCAATTTAATTTGTTGTATTTTATCACTATTCATATATGTATGTGTATATATATATGTAACTATATATATATATAACTATATACATTTTAACTATGTATCAAAAATGTACATGGAAAATATAGTGTAAATTTTTTCCAAAAACATTATTGAAAAGGGAAACAAAAATGAAGCAATAGAAGTATGGAATGAATATAAGCTCAAGATTTTTTGTGTCATTCAAGTTTTAATGCATTCTTACTGATTTTTTTTATTAAATCTGCTTTAAAGAGGTATAGTTTACACAAATAAAATGTACCCTTTTTAATTATGTTCAGATGAGTTTTGACGTATTTATACATTATATCCACTACTGCCACAATCCATAGAACCATTATATTTTCACCCCCTCCATTCAGAAAAATTATCTTGTACCCCATCCCTGTCCCTTACAACCCCTAGGTAACCACTAATAAGCTTTCTGTCACTATGGACTTTATTTCTTCTCTAAAGTTTCATGAAAATGGAACCATGCTTTTTTATGCCAGCCTTCTTTAGTTGAACATAATGTTTTGATATTCATATTTTTGCTTTGTCTGTAATTCTTCTTTTGTTGAATAGTATTTTATTGCTTGGACATATCTCAATTTGCCTAATGATGCATCAGCTAGACATTTGAGTTGTTTACATTTTTGGCTGTTTTATT